TCACTTGTGTGTATAGTGTACACTGCAGCGTTATTCACAACAGCTAAAGATGAAAACAACATTGATAGATGAAGGGATAAACAAACAATGGAGTATCAGTTTGCACCTTAATAATAAGTGAAATACTGATACGCTCTATAAAATGGACAAACCCTGAAGACAGTATGTTCAGTGAAATAAAGCCTGACACAAAAGGACAACTGTGGTGTGATTCCATTTATATGAGGAACCTGGAGTAGTCAAACACATAAGGGCAGAAAGTGGAACAGTGTTACCAGGGGATAAGAGAAGGTGGCTGGGGAGTCACGGTTCAATGGCCACAGTTTCAGCACAGGACAATGAAAAAGTTGTGGAGATGGATAATGGTGGACGGAGGCATGACAACGTGAATGCACTTAATGCTACTGAAATCTACACTTAAAAATGATTACAAGTCACACGTATGGGTGTGTATATATATCATAATACAGAAGAGTAAAAAAGGGATGAACTATTGATACAAACAACAACATGGATGAATCTCAAAATGATTATGTTAAATAAAAGGACTCAGACAAAAAACATTATATTATAAACTATATGTAATCCCATTTATAGAAAATTCTAAAAATTGGCAACAAACGTCATTGCTGGTCTTCCTTTCTCACTAGCGTTGAAATTTTGCCACTTTTTTTTTCCAGTGGTTCCTTATCTGACACCACGCACAAGCCTGGTACTTTGTACTAGACGTGACAAGGCCCCGCCTTCTGCCATCCATACCCCTGCCTCTCTGTCTTCATGTCTGGATTCCCCCTTGTCATACTCCATCCTGTTCACACTGCTGCTTCGGAAACACCCCACTCATGTTCTATGGAGTTTCAATTGCATTCCATGTTCCCTCTACTAGACTGCTCTCCCTTCCGTCAAATTTCCACGTGACTCGTTCCTTCTAGTTTTTGCTCAAATGCTACTTTCTGAATGAGGCCCTGCTTGACTCTGTGATGTAAGACTGCAAGCCTGTCCCCCACTCTTGTTGCACAACCTACTTACTTATTTTGTCTCTTCTTGTTAGAATGTAAAATCAATGAGGGCAGGAATTTCTGTCCGTTGGGTTCACTGTCACACACTCAACTTCTAGAACTACTCTTGGCAAAAGCGATTAATGAATAAATAATTTCACAGGGGGGAAAAGTGATTTGTAGGACAGAGTGAGTTTAACTGAGCAGTATAAATGATGTTAAAAATAACTGGCAAACTACAGCATGATGTAATAAAACCAACCTAGATCAAATGAGTTTTGAGACCTTAAGGATGTTGAGAGATGCAGAAAAACTTAAATATCAACATGTTTTTAAGATTATGAATGCTCCAAAACCCTTAGCTGCAATTATAATCTAGTTTTTTTGTGATCTCAGTGATGCACTAACGAATATAAAGCTACTTGTTTCAAAACAGAGATTCAAGAATTATGGGACCAGATTTCCATCCTTAAGAAAATTCAACTTTTCCCAAATAGAGAAAGGAGAATCATGGGAATCCTAGAGTTCCAAGGAAATTACTGCCAAGTCCCTATTTTTGAGCCTATCCCATACTCAACAAGAAACATTTTATGAGCCTCCTTGGCCTTTCATGGGATATCTGGAGATATAGGAGACACTTGGCACTATTAAAAATCTTAAGGATTGTTTCTCTTATAAAGACAATGTCACTGAAACTATTTCTTTCTGAACAAAGAAACAAAAATGGCAACCAATAGTTACTGTCTAAGTGATGTTTTTGAAGGTGTTCCAGTCAAAGAACAAGGTGCTAGGCCATATTAAACAATGGGTTTTTAATGCCTTTCCTGCTAAAATTCGTTTTTTACAGCTAGGAGTAACAAGCAATTGCCCACAAAGCTGGAATAGGAAAATCAAATACTTTGCCTATTTACATATGGTTCCCTGAAGCCATTCCTGATTAAAAATTGTACCATTTCAATCTTCCTTCTGGAGATATCTATTAACTAGAAATGCATGTGAAAGCCAACGAATTTAGTATATAATTACACATATCCTATACAAATTACTTCTCAATGACCTCTACTCATGAAAATAAACCAAAGAGGGATGATTGGCTCATTATAAATCTACAAGAAGATTTCCTTGGGAAAAGGTATTGAGAGTCAAGACCTGAAAGATCTTAAGCTTCAACTGAATTTAATTTCAGCAGGAAGTAATCACTTCTGAATCTGAACTCCCAATGCATTTTACACAATCCTCTCTAGTGGCAAGCAACACTCTCCAACTGACATCCCTGCTCTTGTCACTAAGTAACTATGTGACCTTGGACAAGCTGATTCCTGACTTCCCGCCAGAGGCTAGAATTAGGTGATTTCAAAAGTCTCTTCCTGATCTACAGCTTCACAACTGCATAATTATAATCACAAGAGCATACCTATATGTATCACCTATTCTCCCAAGGCCAAGAGAGCATCGTACTAACCCTTGGATCCCATACTGGCTGGAACAGCTCACTGAACTTCCCTGAGCAATTGCTCAACAAATATGTTCAAAGACATGAAAACAGTCCAGTCTCTGAAGTTTCCGTTCTCTGTGACCCTCTTAAGCCCTACCAAGCCCCATCCAGGATTTTAACCCAAATGCAAGTCCAACGTTCCCACAGTTCTGGCAGGATTATAAGGAGGCCAGAGAACTAAACATTATCGCTTGTCACTGAGTGTACTTACCCAAACATAGATGGTACAGGCCATCCAGTCCACGAGGCCTCGATGCAATCAAGCGATGGGGTGAACACAAAATGTGTAAAGCTACTGCAAGCTTAACCCAGAGTTTTAAACTTCTAAAACATAGTGTTTTAAACTTTTTTTTAATCAGTAAAAAGAATACATTCTAAAATACCCATAAAAAGTATAGTACTATAATTACATAAACTAGTAATAGTCTTTTATTATCATCATCAACTATTATGTTCATCATATTGTATACGTATTTTGTTCTTCTTCTTCTTTTTGCAATACTAGGAATTGAACCCAAGGGCATTTTAGCACTGAGCTCATCCCCAGCCCTTTCTATTTTTAAATTTTAAGACAAAATCTCACTAAGTTGCCCATACTGGTCTCAAACTTGCAATCCTCCTGCCTCAGCTTCCTGAATAGCTGGGATTACAGACGTGTGCCACCACACCAAGCCTACAGTATGCTGTTCTTTTATCTGAATGACAGTACTATAGGTTTGCTTACACCAGTGTCACCACAAACATTTTAGTAATTCACTGAGCTACAATATTACAAAGTAACTAGGCAACAGGAATTTTTCAGCCCCATTACCATTTTACAGAACCAGCTGGCATAAATATATCATTGATCAAAATATAATTATGCAAAGTATGACTGAACTGTGTTGCTCCTTTGTTCACTGTGTTGTTATAAAAAAAAGATAAAATGAATTTAAACATGTAAAATGCTTATAATAGTGCCTGGCACACAGTAGGTATTCAATAAACAGAAGCTCCCAATGCTGTCGGGAATTAAGGGAACAAAGGAATTAAACAGCTCTTACAGATTCAAATTCTGTAGTTCCCTCTTGTAGATGATAATTGCAAGTATAAACATTTCTCTATTTATATGTGATTTATATTTGTATGCTTTATCAGTCTTTTAACTACTCCAGACCACAGAAACTATTCATTAAAAATTTTAATTCCTTTCTGAAAGAGATTCTAGGTTTCAAAATCTATTTGATCACCCACGCAAGGAGAGTACAATAGAACTATTAAACTGCAGGGCTGAGAATAAATCAGAGCACAAAGACACCCTTGTAGCAGTCCATGCTATCACATGCCACTACTGCAGTTTCGGAGAGCTGCCTTCTTAAGAAAGAAACTAACAAACTCCATTGTTCTAACATCAGAGTTCTTGGACGTGATGGGTCTAAAATCCCTGGCAAGACCTTATTAAAGATCAGAAGATTTCGGTTCTTTCCATTAGGACAGCAATGAATCCCTTCAAGGGATTTTCTTAGGTCAGCATCACCATTTGAGATGCCAAGGATACAGGTGAAATTTCTAAGCACTGAACTAGTTCCTTGTTTTAGACTGAAAACAAGGTAAAGTTAGAAAAGATATTAATTATCCTGGAGAAATTTTCTGAGACTGAGAAATTGTAAGCAATTTAAGAGTACTATGAGATTTTTTTTCCCTCCATATAATCCCTTTTTTCAAAACAATCATTTTAGTAAATAGCAAACAAGTAACAAAGTCCAATAAGACCCTAGAGTTGTCCTAAAATAACGACCTTGAAAAGTTCCAGGCCACTAAAAGATAGCCTGTGACCTTTGTTTCAAGGTGATGAGCTTTTAGAAAACACAAGAACAAGTTCCCCACAGCAACCTTATGAGGTCTAAAACTGCAGAACTGGGTAGGGGGTTAGAGAGTTTCCTGAAAATAGAGGAAAGGCTGCTTACAAAAGGCACCTCCAACTGCTGCTGGCAAGGAGGGACAGTAGTAAAAATGGTATGAAGCCAAGAACAAGTCCATACTTGACAAAATACGCCCATCAAGATAATGATGTCAACCATAATAAAATATTTTGGCAAGACAAGAAATGTGCACCTGTGAGAACGTGGAAAGATTTGACAGATTTCTGTTGTCCCAGCCCTTTATCAGCAAGTTAATTATAGCAACCGTAGAATCTATGTTGAGTGTTAGAGAAAAGCAGTCAGCTGTATGAATCCAAGATGCTGCTCTCCTGGGCATGGGAAAGACAAAGTGACAGTAGTGCTTACATGTGAAAATGTTCTGCATACAGTAAAACAATGGGCCAGACAGCACAGCTCGGTGAGAAAGAGGCATATTCTGCAGACACACAGACGAGACAAGCCTAAAAGGACATACAACACAAACACATATACATGGATGCACATACAAACACACACACTCGCATGCACATGTATGTATATCTCCAGAGCCTAAGCAACTCTGGTCATATTATAATCAAGGATGATTTTTCCCAGAGCAGACTGTACCTTCACAGCTATAACTGTACACAGCCACCGCTGACCTTTCCACCAGATTTTCATCATGATGCCAGCTCACTGCCATTTTTCCCATGCCAAAATAAGGCTCCTCTTTCAGGTAGGGCATTTTCTGAGGATCCATGAAATTGAGCAGAGTTACATTATATGCTGCTCTGCTCTTAAGATCCACTTCATCTTGTCCATCATAGGATGATCCCATACCGACCCTGGGGAACTCTGCCATACACACTGGCACGGCATCTTCGTTGGCCTTCTCTTTGACAGCAAGTTCTTCCAAAGCCTGGATGGTTTCTATCTGCAGGTAGTCATTGAGCTTGAGGAAGGTCTGGCAGGCGGCAGCGATCTCAGCTTCAGTATAGTTTACATTAGAACCCTTCACTGGCCAGGGGACGGTAAAGAGCCTGGTATTCAGGTACTTATAGGTGCAGCCTGGATTGCCAATGAGGATGCGAGATACCGGAGTGAGCAAATCTTTGCCTTGGATCCTAACCAGGTCCCGAAATAAGCAGCCATGTTTGTGCAGGGTGAGGAAAGCTTCTTGAACCTCCTTATGTAGCTCCTCGGACACACTGCCGGATTCTCGGAGAATCAACTTAGGATATTTCAGCTGCCACTAAGACAAAACCAAAGCAAAAAAGAAACGTGTTTATGGATGGCTATAATTTTATTATTTCCAAAGATACATTACTGTGTAAGCATTAAAATAAATAAACTCCTAGGCACAATTTCTAAATAGGATGCAGATCTCCCTAGCCTAAAAGCAAAGACTAAGACAAATGTCATAAAACGCTCCAGTCACGATTTTTAAGCTCAAACTCAAACTGTTAATATTAATGATTTCTCTCATATATGGAAGCCAGAAAAAAGGAAAAGAAAGGTGGGGGGGTCTCATGAGAATCAAAAGGAGACCAACAGAGTAGAAGAAAGGGACCAGGGAGAGGCAGAAGGCAAGAAAAGAGAAAATGCTAGAGAATGATATTGACCAAATTATATTGTTATATTCCGTGTATGTAAAATAGGCAGTGACAAATCTATGTATAATTATAATGCAACAATAAAAAATATGGAAAAAAGCTGGGTACAGTGGTACACACCTGTAATACCAGTGGCTCGGGAGGCTGAGGCAGGAGGATCACAAGTTCAAAGCCAACCTCAGCAACTTAGCAAGGCCCTAAGTAACTCAGTGAGACCCTGTCCCTAAATAAAATACCAAATGGACTGGGGATATTGCTCAGTGGTTGCTGAGTTCAACCCCTGGTATTAAAAAAATGGAAAAAAGATTTCAAGATCATTATTCTAAAAAATATTTTTTAAGTTCAAGTCAAACTATTAATAATTTTCAACATAAATAAAAATAATAATAATTTAGGCTTTGATCTCCCAGGCTCTCTATGTGACCATTTTCCCCCACCCTTAATATCTCTTTGGATCTCCAGAAAAAAACAATTTCATTAATTGTCTATTATCTATTTATTAAGGGAAGAGTGTTACTCTGACTAATTTATATGCATTAACTTATTCCTCACAACTTTATGCATAATATTATCTCCAGTTTACAGGGAAGACTATTGGAGCACAAAGACGTTTTAAAAACTTGCCCAAAGTCACGCAACTAGTAAATACTGGAGCTGGAATTAGAAGCCATGGGGCTCAAGAGACCAGCTGGTTCCAGAGAACGAGTTTCAGCCATTAGACTACACTGTCTCCCAATAAATGACAAACCAGTCTCTCCTCAACACTTCGACTGAATGAAAACTCACTTGTCTTGGGAAGTTAAACACTAAGTTTCAGGAACACAAGAGCCACGACCATTTCATTCATGACCATAAAACTAATGTCAAGAATATACTCAGTAAATGTGAAATGGGTGGATGGATCAATGGATAAAATGGATAGATGGATAAATGGGGTATTCCACTGTAATTCTAGAAAACTGTAATGATTCTGCTTGTGTCACCAGAAGAGAAGGCTATAAAACAACTCCCTTCCCTAATATAAAAATGCATAGGGTTTTTTTGTGCAGGTTGGGAGTGTGTTAGCTTTCCAGTTACCACTTTGACTCCTTAGCACTTGATATATGAACTGGAGTCCAGCCAGAGGTCCCTGGTTCTCTAAAATACAATAGATATTTTTTAACCACAGCACAATATTTTACATTTAAAAAATGTATGAAATTTAATCTGATTTGTTCCTAGCTTTAAGCTAAGACCTAAAGGAAGGACCTAGACATGATCAGCATATTAACCCTGTCCTCCTACCATTGGGGTGTCCATCATTTTTGACATATCTTCCTTTTGTAACTTTATTTACTCATTAGCACTTATATGATAAACAGAGAAAGACCATTTATTCTTCTGTACATTTTGTCATTCAACACATTTACTGATCACCTACCCAACACCAGACAAAAATAAGGTTCCAATTCTCACAGAGCTTTCTACCAAATCAAGTTAATAAATTATGAAAAACAATCCCAAACTGTGTTAAGTATTACGACAGAAAAAAAAAAAAATCAATAGGAAATCTGTCCCAAAGTGGGAAGATCTCTCTAAGGAAATGGAATTGAAGCTGAGTCCTTCAGGAAAAGAAGACACAAGCTACCTGATACACTAAAAGAGTTTTAGGAGGACAGACCCAAAATGCAAAGGCACTGAAGAAGGACCAGTCTGTTCTGGAGACCAAAAGGCCAGTTTTGCCAAGGCACATGAGCCAAAGGCAGAATGACACACAATGAGTATGAAGAGGAAAGCAGGGGCCACAACACAGAGTCCTGGAGGTCACAAAGAGGAATCTGGAATTGATGGAAAGCATATTAGAGGATTTCAGAGGGAAATGAATAAATACACGTAACATCTTATAAAAATCACTCTTAGCTAGGTGCAATGGCACACACCTGTAAACCTTGTAACTTGGGAAGCTGAGGTAGGAGGATCTCAAGATTGAGGCCAGCCTCAGCAACTTACTGAGATACTGTCTCAAAATTAAAAATAAAAAGGGGTGGGGGTGTAGCTCACTGGTAAAGAGACCCTGGGTTCATTTCCCAGAACTCCTCCCCACCCCCCCTCCCCACAAACTCACTCTTAGTTATAATACAGAGCATGATTTGTAAAGAGGCAAATGTGAATGTGGAAAGTTGTATTAGGTGTTATGACAACCATCCAAAAGTAAAGTACTGACAATCTGGATTAAGGTGGCAATTAGATAAATGGACAGATAAAATATATATTTTATAGGTAGAGCAAAAGGGTGTGCTTTTGGATTAGAAGTAGGGATCAAGAAAGGAAAGATGTTAAGGATCACTTCCAGAGTTTTAGATTGAGTAAGTGAATAAACAATACACTTTTGTTGTTGTTGTTGGAAATATGGAAGACTGAAACAGTAGGGACAAGGACAGAGAGAATGAACAGATCCATTCTGGAACTGTAATCTATAAGACACCTGTGAAATCTCTTTAGTGGAAATAGCAAGAGGTAACACCTGGAGGTCAGAAGCAAAGGTGGGGCGAAGTGACTCCTTGTGGGAGCTGTCAGAACACTGCTGGTCTGTCAAGGCCTAGAGATGGCTGAGATCCCCAGCAGAGCGAACATTACTTCCTGAGTTGCAGAACAAGACTCAGCCAAGGAGAACACACAGCAAACCAAAGAGTACAGTAAAGCAGAAGCCAAAAGAGAACATGATATTAAAAAGGACGCAGTAGTCAACTCTGTCAGCTGTGATGAGGTCAAGTGAGATGAGGACAGAGATTATCCACTAGATTCAGCAATATGAAAATCACTGATAACGATGACCAGGGCAATTTCAGCAAAGGAGTAGGGATAGAAGTCAGAATGAAGCAGATTGAAAAGGAGGAAGTGGAGATGACACGTGTGGATTTCTGAGTGGTTTTGCTAAGAAGGGGAATAAAATAACGAAGCTGTTGATAAAGCGGAATGCTTGATCAAAGGGTAATCTTTAATGATGGAAGGCACCAGAGGATACGAGAGCTTGTCAGTGTACTCATGGGAATGACTGAAGAGAAGGAGGCTGATGATACAGAAACAGGGTGAATGACCAAAGGAGCAAAGACCTTGAGTGTCTGGAGCAGCCATCTCCCAAATGGGGTATGCAGGGATTTGTAAGGCAATCCATTAGAGTTGGGAGAGGGGAGGGAATAGTGGAACTAGTTTTGTTGTTGTTTTTTTTTTTTTAATCTAACAGGAAAGAAATTAAGCTCTCCTAAAATATGTGTGCATATATATATATACACATATACATACACCTATATGCATATACATACCCAATTACTATTAGCATCATAAAACAGACTAACTACCAGTGGTATGCAGAAGTCTCTCCATATCTATTCACTAGAACCTACTGTGTATATCTCAACTACTCATTCAGTTAACCATGTTGGTAGCTTAAGACTGGTCACATCGGAGTATTCACACTATAGAATCAAGGTTGGTTTTTACCTACAGTTAGCCAGTTAGTTGGAGATTATCATATAGTTGAAAATTCTTTACTGACCCAGGTATTTGGTAGGAGAAAAGACACATGATGAATGAAACATGTCCAATAAAGAATGACGGTTGTCACTTCCAGCCTGAAGCATTTCATTGCCAGTGCAAGACCTTCTAAAACACTCTCTTTCCCTTTGGCACAGAACTACCTGTTCTGTGGAACTACTTGGATTCCTTACTTCATTGAATGAGTAACTCTCTGCCAAGCAAAAAATGGTATGCAACGTGAATAAGCATGTGAAGTGTGCAAAACCACAGAGATCTGAAGGTCATTTGTTACTACAGCATCATCTAACCTATTCTGTCTGATCCAGAGTACAGGAAACAGAAGGTTTGTGGGAAATTAGAGGAAGTATGAGACAAAAAGTGACTTAGTCAAGTCTGAACTTGGTAAAAGGATTTCCTTAAGTATACACAGCAGGATTGCCCCTTCTTCTCAAAGTGCTTATCTGAGGTGTGTGATCATGAATTTCAAGTGAAAAGAAAAGTCATGTGACATACCACCAGGGGCTACACTGAAACCGTCATGGATCTATTCAGGATTTACAGTTTAGATACTACATTTGTCTCAACTGGAAAACAGACATGATAACATACTTTCTATTTGCACAACCCATGAAGAAAGCAACAGATTCCTATAAGCAGAGACAGAACATTATGGAGCCATGAGCAGTAACTAAATGTTTTTAACAACTGGTTATTTTTCTAAGCAAGTCCCCCAGGCATCAGTATACTCAAAGTACACCTAGCTAGTAGCAATGATTCAGAAGGAAATCTCCCCATACTTTCTTAAAAACTCCAGGGTTCCTTGAATGGACCTTAGTATGGAACACCGAAGAAATGATAACTTGCCCAAACTTGCTTTTCAAGATATTACCTCTGGGACTAGGAAAGAAGAAAATACTAAAAATAATGTTTGCACATTTACACACACACTCACACACACAACTTGCTCTTGTTCAATATACATTGGGATTCAAAACTAAAGAAGATATATTTAACACAGGGAAATTAAAACCCTAACAATCTGGAAAAACCACACAACTAGATGAATATCACATATAAATACCTGGACATTAAACACAACATGATAACAAGAAAAAAAAACAAT